GGGTTTTGTTTGATTTTTTCCCGGGGGGGGGGTCTTGTCCGAGGTTTCGTTCCCTGGTAAAACTTCACCTCGTGGGTTTCCTCATGAGCCGAATGTGATGAGCGAGAATATTGAAATTGTTACAACATATCTTTAGTAGTTTGTTGGTGATTATTTAAGATAACGCTAAGATGACATAAAGGAGCACCGCGTTACGTATCTCTAAGTAACATGAAAATAAAAATACAGGTTATCACGTTACGTATCTCTAAGTAACATGAAAATAAAAATACAGGTTATCACGTCACGTTTCTCGAAGTAACATGAAGACGAAAATACAGGTTATCACGTTACGTATCTCCAAGTAACATGAAAATGAAAATACAGGTTATCACGTTACGTATCTCCAAGTAACATGAAGATGACATGAGGAGCATCACATTGAGCACCTCGGCCTATCTTCTTATGAAAGAGCTCAATGTCAACTTCACCTCCTGGTCGCCTCGTATACGTGAAGGCCTCATCAACATGCAGATCAGCCTGACTCAGTGGCGAATATATCTGTCTTCTGGTGGAGGTGATCCCTTACTATTTTCTGTGTGTGTGTGTGTGTGTGTGTGTGTGTGTGTGTGTGTGTGTGTGTGTGTGTGTTTATCCGTCTCTTTGTCACATTATTTCTGCCTCGTCTTTGCTTCTGTTCTTTTATATTGATTTATTGTTTGTTTTATGTTGACGCATCTAAACTGTGGATGAGAGAGAGAGAGAGAGAGAGAGAGAGAGAGAGAGAGAGAGAGAGTTGTTAATGTGTGTGGTGAGAACATGTATATATGTATATGTGTGTGTATTTAGATATGCAGATACGCAGAAGTCCTTGTGTATGTATGTATATGCTCAATGTGTTTGTGTGCGTGTGTGTGTTAATACGTGCATCAATATTTCATGTGTTTCTGATGCTTTGAGGGTTTTCGGTGAATTCGCAGCAAACTAAAAAAAAAAAAAAAAATCACAACTGTCCCACTCTCATGTCACTAATCTGCAGGTCTTCCACAAACTGGTCCTCTTAATGATTTAATTCAACCTCGTGTCGCTGCTTCAAGGAATGATCTTTGAATAGCTTTGCATTCCCAATCAGTTCTGTGAGCTTGTTAGTCATGGGCAGTCAACCAGAAACGAGTCTGGGTGGGTCATGGTGTTGGATATTTGGCATAATTATCAAGGTCTTCGCTTTCTATTTTTTTGTGGTAAGATATTGGTCAACTAGGTCACAGTTTTAATAGGTCTGTCTAGTTAGTATCAGTCTTAATAGGTCCAAGTTCTAGTAGGTCTCAGTAGTATTCGGTCCTTGTTCCGACAGGTCATAAGTTCTATTAGGCTCACGCTGTAATAAGACCAAGTTGAAGTCCCCAGTCTTAATAGTCCCCAGTCTTAATAGGCCCCCGTTATAATAGGTCCAAGTCCTATTTCGTCAGAACTTGACCCAACTTATCAAACGATGGGTCAAAAAAATTAATTGTGCAGGTCTAATAGTAATTAAACTCATTACGACTATGGCACGATAGAGACTGTGGCGGCTTATTAGGATTAAAGTCAACTAAGAATGGGGCCTATTAGGACGGGGCCCGTTTAATCAATTAACTTGTCCTTTTTTTATATCTTTTTGTCTTTTTTTTATACGCTATCTTCCTATACTTCCTCCTTACACCCTTCGTCCTCTGCTCCTTAGCGTAGTCATATTTTTATCATGGTGTGTGGCAGTTGGGCCACAGGGGAATAAATTAGCGTGAGGCGGGCGACCTGCGGAGACGCCCACAAAAACACACAATTAAATGAGGCACACGGTGGGGGACGGTCAGCCTCAGCACGACTTGTTCTCCCCAGCAAAAACACCAGCAGGCAAGCACGTACACACACACATACACACACACACACACATACACACACACACATAAAAGACTACGTACCATTGAATATTTGCACAGGTGAAGCAAGAGTGCAAACTTTACCTAAAGGTGCGTCGTGGAGGCATAATTAACCAGATATTCTTACCATATTATCATGTATACAGGCAGTCTCATATATGATAACAAGTTACTATTCATTTCTATAAAATAATGCATTAATAAGATATATATATATATGTAATCTATTTTGTTCTTTTATTATTATTATTATTATCATTATTATTATTTGCGATACGGTAACGCATTTACCATCATTACTCGACTTAAGTTATACGTATGAACAGAGAAGAAGCAGAAGAGTGTTGATATCTAGACGTACACAGACCCAAGGCCATGACAATCAGTTCCTCCATACAGGAACTGAGCTTTTCAACGTCATTCATTAACTGTCTTGTATGCAAATGAAGTACTCCCTGCCCTTTGCTGTATTCTTTCAACTTTCCATTTGGTCGATTTCAGTGTTAGAACAAACAGTAGATTAAGATCATATGTTTAATGGCCTTCTCAACTATGTCAATAAGGCACAGCAATATGTAAAGTCCTTTTGAGTTATGGTTAAAACAGTAGGAATCTATCTCCAGTATATTGAAACTTCGCGTTAAAAAGCAGAGTTGAAAATAAAATAAATTTACTCGTTTATTATCGAGAGTTACATCAAAGACTGAAACTTTTTGTGTTTTTAATATAGTTCAGTGTGTGTGTGTGTGTGTGTGTGTGTGTGTGTGTGTGTGTGTGTGTGTGTGTGTGTTGCAATTCTGAAGACCATTTCCGCATCGCAGATTAAAGCTGCAGCCATCAGATAACAAAATAAATGATGCGAGTCATTGTTAATAAACCCAACGAACAAAAACAATAATATTAGAATAATTGATTCCCATAACTTATCAATTTGAAGATAATAAACTCTTGTCGATGTGTACATGTGAAAGTCTCTCATCTTTTAGAGCGAGGAAGTTGTGTTTGTAGGTCAGTCAGCTTAACATACCTACAACAATAAAAGTGAATTATGGAGACAAGGCAAAATATCTCCCAAGAATGTGACTCGTGTTTTTATTATCACTTGAGGGAAACAGTTTTATATGTAGAAGGAGTGAGAACTTTGGCTGAGGTTTAGAAGGACATGAGGAAGATGATCGTACAGTGAAGAGTAAGGGGAAGGCTGAGGTGGTGAAGGCCGGAACACCACCACCTGCTGGGGAGTAGGTATTGACCTTAACGAGCCGAGTCTCGGGAAATTAACGCCTTTAAGTTTAAAACAATTTCATATCATTTACAGAAGAAACAACTGCTCTTATCGTCAGTTTTTGCTAAGAGTGAACTGAAAAAATTAGCGCCAGACCCAGTGAACTTCCTGCTTGGCCGCTAAACTTGATGGGGAAATACCTGCACTGCTAAAAGCATAAAAGCACACACACAAAAAAGCCTATGACTTGTTCTTAACGGAAGGGAAGAAAATCTTTATATGTAATCGTACGCTCGAGGTCTAGTACACACAGATAGATGTAATCAAATGAAGAGATGGCAGAAAGTTCTATTTACCTCCCATCTATCTCAGTGGCTCCTTGGAAGGCGTTGCCGAAGATCTCCATTTTTACATTCATCTTCAAGCATCACTCCGGGAGCTTTGGGAATCTTGAGATGTTCTTACTCAGGGGAGACGATGATCTAAACAATCAGCGTGTAATAGTGCTCTCACCTCCGCCATATCAAGCAGTAGAATAAAGGAATGATGAAGGAAAAAGTGAGAGGGGTGATGGCGAGGTGATGTACCCAAGGTCAGTGTGTGATGTGCAACTCATGCAGAGTTCCCCGGCCTCCCGCTAGCTCAACAACCCCTCCTCCCGCCCCTTACCGCCGCCTCCCTCGACGGTCTTCCATCTGCCTTCACTTATGCCATTTCCTGTAGTTACTGTGAAGATCCTGAGGTAGGTAGTGAAAACAGACAGACACGTCAACAGGTAAAAGAAGTGCTGTCATATACACCTCGGGGCTCCAGACTGCAGTGTACCGAGTTCTACAGACGAGATGAGTATGAAGGATGAGTACTGATATTCCACAGTAGGTAGTGACTTCAAAGTTTGTTTATAAACTTTGGCTTTTATAAATGACCAAAACTCGTGTAAACAGCCTCAGGGTTAGCTTAAGCGTCCTAAACTTTTTGCCCAACGGACATTTCAGAGTTTTTGTTGGCAACGTCAAGCCTTCTGAAAACCCCATCATGACACCTAAAAATATACTTTTGACGGTTTTAGTATAAGGTAGGCGGATGAGATATACATGTGGTCGACCTTGGTCAGAGAGCAAGTGTTGACCACGTCATGGATGGCTGGGGGATGCTGTGGGTGAGGGACTACCGAGAGGATGACCACCTCCTTATAGACATCCCTGATGTGAGGGACACCACACGTGTTGACGGGCGTGTGTTACAACTCTCTCTCTCTTCTTATCGCTTTCCTCTGTATTGGTCTAATTAAGGTTTGTGTTTCTTTTGCCCCAACTTCACACCTTCTTGTCTCACGATGTCTCTCTACCTCACTCTCTGCGTCACAACTCTCTCGTCATGTGTATAAGATCATAAGTTCTCGGAAATCGATATTTTATGGTCTCTTAACATTTTCTCACATTACTGACATTTTTACCTTTAATAAAAACACGACCACGTACACTTATGATATATATCTACTCTATCGAGTTAATTGATGAGGTATACATAATGGCTCGTTAGATGTGTGTAACTCTCAACTTAACAAGAGAATATTACAGATCACTATTATTTTAGCTTAAAAGCCTTGGCTGTATATATTTTCCTCAGACATGATGCGCGAGTTATAAAGAACGACAGGTGTAAATAATACTTTATCAAATTAACTTGAAAATTAATCAATTGCCATGAAAATAAAAAAAGTATTCCACAATCACATTTTACGATATAAGAGTATGATAGAGTTGTTACATTTATTTCAGTTCCGTTCCTTGACAGCTGGTTCCTGTACTCACTGTGTTCGACTCATGTTCCTTGACAACTGGTTCCTGTACTCACTCAGCTTGTCTCTCCCTCAGGTGTTTGGGTGTGCGTGGCGAGGCAGTGGTTGATGCCTGGCTGCCGCTGCTAGGATGGGAGGTGTTCACGCCTCGCCCCGTGCCATGCCCTTCGTTAAAAACCTCTCCATCACAAAGCCGTCATCTTCAGGAGCACCAGCAGCGCCCGTAGAAACACCAGCTTTAGTGTCAACACCTCTAAGCGTCTTGCAAATCACCTAAGTTGTGGTAACACGGCGAGGCTATAGATATGAGAGGTGTGCAAGAGCTATGACGTAACGTGGAGGCCTCAGTCAAATGTTTGGAGAGTCATGGTAACGTGTTGGTGGTACGAGTGACGCCACGAGACCTTAGAACAAAATTTATCTAGTAAACTGAAGAAAAAAAATATTAAAAATAAACAAATGACTTACGGTGGTGTATTGTGTTGATAGTTTCGTGTTGGAGAATTATAAAGTGAATCTTTACTGTCTTAAAGTGAATGTCAAGAACAGATTAAGAAACAATGCATAATACAAGGAGGACTGAGAAGCCAAGGTGGCAGACAGAGGCAGAGATGAAGCGTGGGACTGACAGAAGAAGAGTACCCAAGTGGTCGAGTTTAAGGATCGTCCGCTGTTCAGTTCTTCTGGTAGTGTTCTTCTGTCAGCTGGCCGCCACTTCTTACGGCTGTCCGTCAGGTAGGTCTCACACACCTCCCTACCAACTTACACTCATTTAGTTCATACACTTCTCTATCATTTGATCTTTAACTTGTTTTGTTTACGAAGTAGAATATTTTTCACCTTGACTCTTAATAGATACGGGTTAGGTTAGGTGAGGTGAGGTTAGATTAGGCGAGGCGAGGTGAGGTGAGGTGAGGTGAGGTGAGGTGAGGTTAGATTGGAGTACACAGGGAATAACTGTCTGATTGGCGGCGGTAATAAGCGAGAAGTATAGGGAAGGGGTGAGAGGAGACTGAGGGATATACCCAGGAGAGAAACTGATTACTAAAGTGTATACCGAGTGTGAGGTATATAGAGATGTGTGTGTGTGTGTGTGTGTGTGTGTGTGTGTGTGTGTGTGTGTGTGTGTGTGTGTGTGTGTGTGTGTGTGTACAAAGAAAGTTCAACTGATGTACACAAACATATAGATAGATAAACAGATAGATAAATAAACAAAAAGACAGATAGGAAGATACAAGGATAGATGAATGAACATGTAAATAGCCGATAGATGATTAAATTAATACTGGTAGATAAATGTTTAATTAGTATAAGTCTGGATCGTTAAACAAAATGCATGTACAAAGTAAAAACTAAATACATAATGTTTAATTTTAAGTTTATTAATGCATGTTTTACTAAATGTTTTACCTGTATGTTATTGAATGTGTTTAATATAATTTCATAATCGCTATATAACTGTTTCTATGCAAGCTTAATTAGTGTGAATAAATAATGTTTAAAATACTGTAAATATATATATAAATTATCATAAACTTTTAACTAATTTTGAATCATATAATTGTTTAATTTTTAATTAGTGTACTTAACCTGTACCAATAAACACCCCCACCTGCTAAACTAAATTAATATTATTTTAACATACTAACAAATTAACATTTCACATACTAACATCTGACATCTTAAAATAGGTACTTAAAATAACCTCTACATATAATTACAAACGGTGGTATATTTCTGCATGATCTAATACTGTACAAACATCTATGACCTGAAGAGCTGCTCGGTAAATACTCACTGGTACTCTACGTATATAAAAATAATGGTGAATAATTAAGTTAACAAATAATAAAGACAACATGAACTATAATTCCAAATGAACGAGAAGAATTCAGCTCGCATTCAAATACCTTTTCGGATCTTACAAATACAATGAAAAACACAGTGAAGTTATTTAAGTCATGGGAGTAAGATTATGATGTAGCGTGCTGGAGATGTTTACAGGGCGTCCTTCCTCATCATCAGGTCAATCCTCTCGGGACATTATACACGAACTAACACGGTGTGTGTTTTATATAAGGTACTGTCCTTGCTTTAACATGTTCCTACCCTCACTTACTTATACACAGTAAACTAATCTAACATAACGAGTGAAGATAACAAACATAAAATCCGAAAAATCCCCTTCTTTAAATTACTGTACGTAACCTGGTATAAATCACGCCCTTCCAAAATTGCAATCACTTAATTTTTTTGTGAATTACCTAAAATCATCCTAATAATAGATGGAAAAACAAAGATAATTACTTAATTCGACTTTACTCGGTTACAAAAATCGCTCTTCTGACAGACGAAAATCAGAGACAGTATTAAAATCCCGACTAATCTGTGGTTTACATTGGGGTTATGTCATTTCATTCATATACGAACGCAAAAAAAAAATACTTGTTGACGCTTCATTCTTTTGTTTTGTAGATTCGACTGTTTGTGTACGTGTTTGTGGGAGTGTCATGATGAAGGTGACACTCCTTGATGGTTGAGAAGACAATTATACGAAACTGACAATAAACTTTCATAAATAATAAGTTACATACTAGAAACTTTGATTATTTATGCGATACAGATTCTAAACTTTGACTATTTATGCGATACTGATTCTAAATTTTGACATACATCTTATTCTGCCTCAAAATCTATGATGAACCTCGAAGTAATGATGAATTTCTATGATAAACAACAGTGTAAAAGATGAAAATAAGTATGGCAAAACAGTGAGTAAATGTAAATGATAATAGCGAACATCTGTGTAAATGTAAAACTATTATGATAAACCGGTGTAAAAAAAAATAAATGTTTTGAGACCTTGATGTTTATTTTTAAGTTTATTATGAATGAAACAATAAATTAATTAAGTAAACCAATAATTTATTCTTTAAAAAACAAGCCTCAGTTCCACGTGAAAAGACGAATCTAGTTCACATCTTTGTTATACAGAAACAATACAAACATAAGACCAAAATGAAAGGAAACCCAACCTAATTCTCCCAAATAAACCGATGCATTATTACACGTTGAAAATATATCGATCCTTTACTGAAATAAATCAATGGTCATAAAATACGTAATGTACTCTTGCCTATGAGGAGAATACAGAAGGACGATTATTAAATATTTCTTCCAGTCCTTCCCATTGTCGTTATTATAGGTCTATTTTTCTATAGATTCTATAAGATTTAGCACACAAGATAAGTACAATCTCTCCCATATACTGTAAACGTCATGAGTGTCTCGGCAAAAAACGGATATAAAGACTAAAATTCCCCTTTCACTCATTTCAATCAACGACGGCGTCTCTCAACACTTATTCCACTGACTGTAAAACCTCTTCACTAAATCTATTTCACCTCTGTAACCAACACACAGGGACACAGCCACTGGTTTAATGTCTCCAGGGAACACAATAAACTTCACAGGGATTATTGGTGTATATGAGAAGGACAGATCAAGTTTCAATGCAGCTAAAGACATTGATCAAAGACGTGTTGATCTTAGACATAGTTGGGTGGACTGTTGTGAACCTTCTTATAGCACTGATATAAAGACGGCTGCAAGGCTACTACAAGAACAATAAGGGATATAATTCTTTATTACAGCCGACAAGTAAATAAACATTTACCCACTCTCAAACTTCAACAGAATCTGAATAGGATTAAGAAACTTTGAGCCTATATACACGTCAGTAACTTATCTCTTAACCTTTACTCTAAGAACGGCACAGGCTCTAATAATATATAATACACGAGCTTATTATACAGACGACAAGTAAACAAAAACACTCACCCACTCTCAAACTCAAAATAGAATCTGAATCGATTAAGGAACATTAAAACTATTTGTGTGTTGTAACTTACTTAGCAATGTAATTTTAAGGATTCTAATTCTTCCCAACTGGTATTTACAGCCGGATTCAACGGGAAGCATCCTCTGCATTTCTACCTTCCCCCTGTCATTCCCTTCATCCCACCTGTCTACCCCCCTGTCACCATCCGGACAAACAGCTGTTCTCTGGGCTCAGGTGAGGTGCTCGCCTGTGCATCAAGGGCTGGTGTTGGTCTCGTGTGTGTCCGTGTTTGTTTATGGATGGTTATGAGGTCATATGTAGAGACGAGTGTCAACTAGTGCTGGCCATATGACAGCTGGTGTTAATGTGGTCGCTTGGTGGTTGTGGAGGTGTTATTTGTAGGCATGTCTTGGCTGGTGTAGGCGTGTGCGTGTTTGTGTAGGTGTGTGGAAGCTGGTGTGGCCGCATGACAACTAGTATGGGCGCGTGACCGCTAATATGTGGGAGTGTGGGTATTGTAGATGACGTGGGAGTGCTACAGTTCCTGTGAGTACATGAAAACAATCGTGGGCGTGGAGCAAATTAATGAGGGTGTGCGGCATCTGTCATGGGCTTCCGGGAGCTGTCGTGGGCGTGTGAGGGCGTCAACACTCTTTGCCAAGTAGCCCGACCACCGCCCAGCCCACCTGTGAGGCGGAACACACTTACACCGACCCCTCACACTCGCCCTATCACCTCCCTGGTCACAATATCCTCCTCACTCCTCCATTCCTCCTCAAATTCTGGACAAAATACAAACAAATACTGCCTAAAGAAATCTTCAGAGCTTAATTTGAAGAAATCGATGTGCGTGGGTTCAGGTGAGGGAGGAATCCCAAGGGAGGCAAGGGAAGGAGTGAGGATGGATTGTCCGTGGCGAATTTTGTGAGTGTGACGTGGGTGGTGGGGCGTGGGTGGTGGGTGTGCATGTCTGTGAGCGTGATTGATGTGTGCCTGGTGTGGTAGGTATGTGTGTGTGTGTGTGTGTGTGGTGGGCGACTGTGAGGGTTGCTGGCAGGTCTTCGTTAAAACAAACAACACTCTTCGTATATTATCAATATATTTTCAAATTCTATCGTATGGAATCATAAAATAAGAGACAGTTTCACCTCGTATTTCCAGACCGATAATTTTGTCAGGTAAACGATGTTATTTGTAACTGTTTAACGTGAACAAAGTTTAATGAAAATATAAATTAAAACAAAATATTACAAGTAAAGGATGGAATAGAATAAAGGTTAGAATAATTAGTTAAACAAATATTCGCCATAAGGAGAGGTTAAAATCATAAAAAAAAAATATTATGAATCACCGATGATTATTCCGAGATAAATTATATTATGAAGAGAAGTGACCTTGATTTTGGTTAGGTGAGTCATCATCTGTTTAAGTGATCACCTGTGTTAGTCTACGTTAGTCAACTTTAGGCTCAACTCACATGACTGCGCTATGGTGTTAGTTTTCAATGCGTCTTATTATTTACGCTGGTGGGTGTAAGACCAGTTTCCCTCACTGACGCATCTATGGTCAATTTGGTGTTATTCTTGTTTATAAATGCCTTCTAATCTGTCTCAAGTCTATCCGTCCTGTCTATTGCCATCCCAACTGTCTGTTCGTCTGCGTGGTGTCTGACTGTAAGCCCGTCTGCCTTATCCGTTGTTGGCGTGTGTCTGCCTGTTTGTCTAATGTGAACCAGTCAGTCTGCTGTCAACCTGTCTGTCTTTCTGTCATGTTAGTTGCCATATTGTCTACTTGGGTATGTATGAATCTATCTATTTTTGTCAGCCTCCTGTCTGTTTCACTGTCTATATTCACCCTGTGTCTATTGTAGTCATTTCTGTCTGTCTGTATGTATGTGTCTGTCTTGTATGCTGTCTTTGTCTTTCATAAGTCTGTCTATCTGCCTGTCTTTCTGTGTGTCCTTGAATCTGTCTGTATTATATCTGTCTTTTGTTTGTCCGCCTCTCTCTCTCTCTCTCCATTTTTATCCGTACTATCTCTATCTCTCGCTTTATTTATATATCTCTATGTCTCTCCATTACACTACTCATGATATTTAACACTTTTTCTTCCTTATTAAATAGGTGATTTTAATAAGGTATTCGGGGAACTTTAAAAACACATATACTATTCTGATTAATTTGTATATCTTAGCCTAATGTACACACACACACACACACACATGCAACTTCCCCTCCCTTTCCCCCCCACCTACACGTATATTCACCCTCCCCCCACTTACATACGAACCTTCATAAACATTAAAAATATTTGAGCAAGGCCTGAAGGAGGTGTGGCGGCAGGTGGGGTGGGTGAGGCAGAGGGCACCGTCCTCATAGGTAATTACTGTTTACATCACCTGGGCTGTCTCCTCTTCTCCCACCACCAGTACCACCCACCTCACTCCATCATCTCCTTACGCGCTTTTCTTCCGTACTGTTATTCCTCTTACTCTCTGTCTCTTTCCCACGTCTTTTTTCCCATTCTCTTGTACCTCCCGTTATTCTTCTCTCTTGATAATCACTTTTTGTTCCGTCATATTATCCAAGTTCCTCCTTCCTTTATATAATTCTTTTCAATCTTTCCTTTCCCTGTCTTCCTTCCCGTTTTGTTCACCTTATGTCTCTTTCCTCTTTATGTTTTATCTCAATATTCTTACTCTTTTTACCTCCTGTACATTTAACCGACTAATTTCTACATGTTATCATCCAAATACTTGTTCTGATTTTGTTTTACTTATCGCTGTCCTTCCTTTGTCTCTTTCTCTAGTTTCTCTACTATCCTTCTATACCATTCCTATTCTGTCCTTCCATCCCTCCATTGATACCTCCACCTCTCACTATGCCTCTCTCCCATCTCCTTTCCTCACTCGCCTCTTAAGAGATTAATTTCAGATTTTTGAGATGTTTATCATCCTACGACCTAAGGATAATAATGTTTCAGTCTCTCTTTTTCTTCTTCTCTTCTCCCTTTCCATCTTCTCCATGCATTACTTTTATTATCTTTTTATCTCTTCTCCTTTTCCATGTACAGTCACCCAAAAAGTCCTGTCGCGAACCATGAACCCCGAGATTCAGACTCTTGAATCCGAAGCATTTATGGAAAGAATAATGTATCAGTGTCTACTGCTTCGGGTTCACGAGTCTGACTCTCGGGGTTCGTTGTTCGGGACAGGACTTTTTTGGGTGATTGTACAGTCGGTCACAGGAATAAGTACACACTGTAGCTGTAAGGTCCGAAAATGGTCTGGTAACGTTGAAACTGCGCTTCCAGACGCGTGATGAAACTCATCTCCCCCACCTGTTATCTCTAACTATTTTCTGTTTCCCTTCTTTATTCTTCTATTTACTCCAATTCCTTTCTTAACTAATCCAAACACCATTAAAAAAAAGTAGGGTAAGAGAAAAAAATGGGGGAGGAGGAGTTAGCCGTACGATAACTGCAATCCCAATCGGCAACAAGTTAGATACAATATATTACTTGTAATATAAACACAAGACTTTAGTAAAACACTCACAACAAACGTATTTATAACATAAATGTAGGAATAAAACATAAATTACAGGTCATTCTGTAATTTTGTCTGTTCTGTTCAGGACAGTGTTACCAGATATTTTGTCTCAAACACGAACCGTATGTGTATACTTATTCTTGTGGCCGACTGTACCTTCCATCTTTTCCATCCATCTCTGTCATTATCTTTTCATCTCTCCGTATCTATTTCTATCTCCATCTTCACTCCCTCGCACCTTAAAGCCTCGCGAGTCAAACTAGTATTCTTCAACTGAGATTCACGACCAACACCGACTCCATCTCCCAAGGAACACGTTCATCCGTCCTATTATTTTTTACATACTCTAAACTGCACTAAACACCCACAGTCCATATAGAAGTTAAATACAAATCAAATACGTACATATACAGCACTCTCTCTCCTTCTTGAGGTATATCGGTTAGTGACTATTCGTAAAACATAACCTAACCTAAACCTAACGTAACCCACCACCACCTCCCTAGACGAGTGTACTCCAGGGTGCGTGTGGAGGTTGAGTCAATTAAGCTGGTGAGTAGTGCATATTTATGACTCGGAGCCTTCACTTGAGACCCGCCCCGCCCCGCCCCAACGTGTGCCCCGGCATTACCTGCATGCAAGCCAGGGTAGAAGAGGAGGAGGTGGTTAAGAGGCAAGCATTGACGTGGGTGGAAGTGGAGGCGAAGGGAACAGGTGGTGTAGGGAAGGTGGAGAGGAGTGGGGATGGAGGGTAAGGAGGAGGATTGGGGCAGACAGGAGGGGATGAGGGAGGAAGAGGGGAAGGAAGGTAGAGGGAGGGGAATGGGAGGTAGGAGGGGAGTGGGGATGTGAGGTGATATGGGAGGGAGGAGGGTTGGATGGGAATGTGGAGAGTGTAATGGGTGATGAGGGAGTGTATGAAGGTGGTGAGGGAGTGGGGAATACTGGTGGAAGTAGGGATGGTGGTGATGGTGAGTATGGTGGTAGGGAGAACCGTTTACATTGTTTTCATTAATGATGGTGAAGAATATTATCACAGTGATGTAATTATTAGTGATGATGGTGCAGATTGTGTTGTTGATGGTGATGATCGTGCCAGATGAATTGAAGATACCGAAGATGATGTTTACAATGAGGGTAATTTTAAAGGCGATTCAAATAATGAAGTTATCTGTTGGTGATTACTTAAGTGATTTGTGTTATTACGATATAATTCGGTAATTTCTTTGAATAACCATAAATTGTTGTTACACTCAAGCATGTAATGATTAAATAACCTGTTTATTTTATAATTCCCCCCAAAAATGAAAAACAATCCTCAATTTATTTTGGCTGAAGAAACACCAAATAAATATAATGCATTTTCTAACAGTCATGGTGGCGTCTCTTTCACCATCAGAGTCATGCTGCTGACAAGTATATATACATATCTACTTAGTTACATATCAATCATTACATGTATACACTCGACGATAATTGCCTCATTAGCTCGACCTTATTAGTGTGAGTAAACTGCAAAATCTCAACAAACACGAACACATGAAGATAAAACAGACGTACAAAATATTGATGATAAAAGACGTAAGAAAAATAGAATAATAATGGAAGTATAGAGCAATAATTAGGAGTAACAAAGTATCAAGTAAAACAAAATATGAAAGTAAAAAAAAAAAAGCAAAATCGA